TGCAAAATCGAAGTTCCAATTCACCCTCATTTTATTCTGTTGAGAGTTTTACTATATTTCATGCTGCTTTAAGGTTACACACACACACAAATACACACACACACAGAGGGGGGGAGGGAGAGAGAGAGAGAGAGAGAGAGAGAGAGAGAGAGAGAGAGAGAGAGAGGGAGAGAGGGAGAGAGTTGAGATTTCAGTTATCAGACGTAAGAATTAATACATTATCTTGTCAATTTATAACCATATTAGGTGAAATCCAGTGAGAAAAATCATGTCTGACACCTTACAAATATACAAAAAAGATTAGATAGATGGATGATAGACAGATAAAGAGATTATATATATATATATATATATATATATATATATATATATATATGATGGATGATAAATAGATGATACATAATAGATAGATGGATGGATAGACAAATAGAGTAGACAGATAGACAGACAAACACACCAACAGGCAGACAATATTTTTTTCCTCTTTGTATTGAAGAATATCTGAATGGAAATTGTTTTAATTTACATTATGTAGCACCATTACTTACAAAAGAACAGTCCTAAATTTAGAGAATGTTTTAATTAAAATTAACCTCATGATGGCCAGCAAGATGACTCACGGGCCTGTGTACATTCCTGATGTCCTGAGTTTGATCCCTAAAGTCTCCATGATGGAAGGAGACAACTGACTTCTTCCTATAAGTAGTTCTCCCAGGTTGCATGTGTGTGCTGTGGCATGCAGGCATGAGCTAACCACACAGTGTAGTAAAAGTTTACCTTATGAAGTGTAAAGTTCAGAGATGAGCTATCGACATAATACTGAGTAAATATCTTAAAACATTATATAATTATTTTCTGATATAAAAAACTTCCATTTCAAATCAAAGTAGTATCACCACTGTGTCATTGTATTCAGAGGTCTTAATTTGGGCAATGATAAACTGCGGTCCATTTTTCATTCTATATGTTACTAGAAGTTAGAATCATCACCCCAGGTCTCAATGAATTGAGGCCAGCCATAGGGGCAGTTTTGTGAGCTGTGAATTCACAACAAGCACTACAAACCAAATCCAGCCAAACCAATACTGCGTACAATAAAACAAGTTCTTGACTTCTTATAAAATGTAAATTTTAGTTTAACTAATGTGTCAATAGATTTGCGTTTAATAGGCTTCTTTTATTTTTATTAAAAATAGATTAGCCTCTCATATGATACGCCCACACCTCAGCTTCTACTCCCTGTACTCCGTCCAGTGTGCTCTCTCCCAAATCCACTCCTCCTTCATTTCCTCTTCAGACAAGAGCAGGCCTCCAAGAGACAACAGCCAAACAGGACAAGACAAAATACAACAAGACAAGGGGATAGTCTTTATATTGAGGCTGGACAGTATGCTTTGCTTTTATAAATGGAGAAATTTGAGAGAATCTAATTAGTCATAAACAGTCTTCCCCAGTGTGAAGTCAGTAATATTTGACTTCATTAGCAGTTTACAATAAAAATGTTTCTGTATTTTTGTTTTTTAAATGAAAAAGTTAGGTTAGTACATCAAGTAATGATATCATTCCGGCATATTCGTCTGTATGCCTCATTATAATTTGTTTTTTAATTAACTCTCTTCTTCTGTCGCCCTCCCTCAAACTGTCTCTATTCTTAGCTAAAAAAATTGATAACTTAGAAAAAGAAACATGAGGTAGCAGTAAATGGTCCTTAGGAAAAAGGGGTGAGAAATGGAGATAGAATACATTTGACACAAAAGTGGACAGGAGGGCTCTCAGGGTTGCTCATTGGATACAAGCACTTGCTATACAACCCTGATGCTCCAAATTTAATCCCTGGGGTCCAATTAAAGACGAAAGGAGAGAAATAACTTCACACAGTTGCACTCTGACCTGCATACACATGCCCTGGTGCATTAGCCCCACACCACACATGCAGTAGAAGAAGAAGCAGCAATAGTAGTGATAAAGGAAAACTAAATACTTTTCTCTTTCGGTTTTGATGTTCACTGTAGATGACCACTAAGCTTACTTTAACCTCTTTAAAACCAATGAGATAACATGTTCAGCCACTCCTGATTTTAAATAGGGCAAGTTTGACTTAGATTTAACCAATGAAATTTGAGAGAACAAATTTCAGCCTTTATAAAAAAGCCCTAAATCTCCCATGCATGACCTTCCCTGTGTTGTTGATTCTGGACATCGAAATGACATAAGGAATGTGGAGATAAGGAGATGGAAGGAAAAGGAGCCCCTGGGAGACAAGCTCTCTCATCATTATCAGCTGTCTTGATCTTCATGGAACCTTGAGAAATGGAACTTGTCCTGTGCCTTTAAGCTCCCGATAGCTTACAAGGAGGAAGATCCTTCCTTGTAGGTGCCAAGCTATGTCACATAAGAGTTGCAAAGTGCTTACGATGAAGAACATTACAAGTCAGCCTTACAGTAACAACGGGCTCATTTCATTGTCTGAGAGCCTTGGAGGTGAGAAACAAAGAGACATAAAGAGTCTGCAAGTTTCAAAAACAAGTCCTTCATAGCATGCATTTCAGAAAGGCCAGGGCCTGTGCAATTGTGCATGAATCTAACTGAGTGGGCTGGTAGTCCTTCTTCCAAGTATTTGGACTGTTTATTTTTAAAGATGTCAGAAATCCATGTTCAAAAAGAAGTGGACTATGCAGTTTTTGAGTAAACTATTGACCCTTTTAAGTCTGTCAAAATTGAGCTCTCAAGGAAGGTAGACTCCATGGTAACCCTTCACAGGAAAGACAAGGGGAGACGGCCACACTGATGTGCTGGCTACAATAATTCAGTTTAAAAGGCAGCCAGAGAAATGGACAGGTTAAAACCAATTTAGGGAGTCAGTTGGAGTAGCTCCATGGGTAAAGAAAGGCATTTGTTGCTAAACATGATGGCATGATTTTGAATCCTGGCACCCACATGGCAGAAGGAGAGAACCAGCATCCACAAATTTTACCCTGACGTCTACTCTGGTACAGTAGGACACATGTGCTACCCCTTTAAATAAATTTTAAAAGAAAAACCCAGGAATGCAAATCCAGTAATTGGCCAAAGAACTTCTTGGAGAAAAAAAAAAAGAGTACACGAAGTGTCATATTGTATTTTCATATGCTGATTCTACAGAAAGAATGTGGGTGTGGGTAGCCAAATGGTGTGTTCTTCTCTATTTCTTCAGCTCTCAGAAAACACACACACAAGTAACATTATACAGTCTGAGCTGGATGTATATTTAGGAACACACACACACACACACAGAGAGAGAGAGAGAGAGAGAGAGAGAGAGAGAGAGAGAGAGAGGGTT